TGCATTGGTTAATAAATTACAATATAAAAGAATTATATACATTGTAATAATAGTTTATATAATTTCTTTTGTTGATCGAGGTGATTGTTGGGAGTGAGGGGATATTGATAATATAGATGGTAATGACTGTTGGTTGTGGATGGGTGGCGATAACATCAATTATAGTGTATGTGTTGATAATAAATTGCACACACTGTAACATAAGCCTATATATATTTTTATTTTTTGAGTTGAATGGTGGGCAATTGGTGGTGATAAATGACAATGATGGCCGGATGACGACGGCATTGATGGGATGATGATGTAACAATTGAAATTAAAATTTATAGTATTACACACTGTAACAAATTATTTAGTAAAAATATTACAAAAAATAACATAAACGGTTAAAAAAATTACAGAAAAGTAAGATAAATAAAATAACATATACATGAAAATTACATACATTATAATGAAAAAAAAAAAATTCAAATTTTGAAGCACACATGATTTTTGAAATACCTTTCCATAAATTTGATTATGAAAATTCGACCCCAAATGTATATAATTGTTTAATTGAGAGAAAATTATCATGAACCCTATTTTTCGAATTTCAATTTCAAAAATTAGTTGCTATCATTTTTTTCAATAATTAAGTTATAATTAATTTTTTTAATACAAAAATATATATACTCCACCCATTCTCACCCCCAACTAGATTTGTATACACAGAGAGAGAGGAAGGAGGTATACCCCATCCCATCCCATCCCACGCAATCCAACCCAACTCAACCCAACCTGGATTCAAATAGTCAATTACAAATTTTTTGTTACCCACTCTTTCTCCATCCATCTCATTGTTCATGTGTTTCCGCAAGTTTAAGGATCGTGACAAGTAAATAAAGTAGATTTATATAGTCTAGTATTGGCTAACAAAGACTACTATCTACTATCGATTTTTAAATTAAACTATCTTCAATTTGAGTAAGATGGTAATTAATTATCAAACTAAATTGTGGTTTGTCACTAAGGTCTACTAAAGTAAATAACGAAATCAAATTAACACGATTAAGAAGAGTATGGGATTAGGTAGTTAGGATTTTCGATTTCACTTAGGCACCGTTTGATTCAACAAAATTTTCTCTAGAAAATGGAATTTGGATTCCAACTTCCACAAAAAGGGTATTTGATAGCTTATATTTACCATGGAACTGAATTTCTTAGATTTCTTGGAAATTGCACTTTTTCTTGTTTTCAAGGAATTTGAATTCTCGCTAATATGGTGAGAATTCAAATTCTAGTCTACTGTAGCATTTTATTTTATTTTTTTGGCAATGGAAATTAATTCTAAGAATTATTGTAAAAAAATATTTCCCTTCAATTGACAATTTTCATATAAAATAAAACCAAACGAATACCAAAAGATAGATGATTTTATTGAGTTTTTTGTTGGCAGTGGAAACAAATTTTATTCCCAATACCAGTAAAATCTATTATTTTAATTGACAATTTTCATGTAAAAAAAGCCAAACGAACACCAAAAAAACTTTTATTTTAACATTTTTTACGTAAAAAATTATACCAATCAAATACAATAATTTATAATTCCCAGGAAAACAGTTTCTAGGCAATTCAATTATCTGAAATTCGTTTTCAATTCAATTCAATTCCATCTTTACAATCAAACAGACCTTTAGATTGTTTAACATGCATCCAATTCCGATTCATTCAACCCCTTTTCATACATACCAACGATCGAATTAACCTAATGCAGCCAGTAATCTCTCTCAACCAACTCTAGTCTTATTCATATGTCTGAGTTTACTATATCTTTACGTAAATTTACACATGTATGAACGCATTAACTTATAGGAATTCAATATGGATTGCATAACCTATAATTATCTCTCGATCTCTCATAACACTTATGTTATTATTGCATGAGTTACAATCATATATCGCCTCTCGGTTTCAGTACTATTCCTAAATCAATCAATTATTGCATAGGCAGTCGAATGAATAATAATACAATAAATAATTACACGTATTAATGAAATTAAATAAATTCAAAAATCCTAAGTTACACATCATCTTAACATAGAAATATTTAGCACTCATAATATCGAAATAAAACATATAAAGTTAAATGGTTTTAATTTCAATATACAAGATAAAAATAATCCAAACTATTGTTGATCTTTGCCACACGAATTTCAACAATTGTTCTTCGTCTTCTTCCCTGCAAAACGTAATTCTCCTGGTAAATTGATGATGGTATGTGATTAATTCGAAAAATTCTTGAGAACAATTATCAATTGATTATTGCACAAAAAACCTGGAATTAATTTTTTTTTTCCCTTGCTGCTTTTCCATCTGCTTCTGCAGTTTGCATCCTCTTTCAATTTCTTCTCCCCTGTATTGCCGTGTCTGCCTTTCCATTTTGTTAAATTTCCTGCCAGGTTTTTTTTTTTTTTTTGGGAGAAAGGAGTGTAATTCCTTTTTGATATTCATTCCCACTAGAATTGTCATTGGTTTCAATGCATAATTAATTGGTTTGTTTTTGTCTTCAACCTCAATTCTTTCGAAAGATGCCATAAATTTAGTCCTTGGAACCACTTTATTGCATAGCATCAATCCTTCTCAATTCCAATTAAAGGCCTTAAATTTCTAAAGTGTGGAAATTTGATCTCAAAGCCACAGACTTTTTCATTTTCATCCTTCTTGATTAATATTTTCTCCAATCTGAGTTTTCTCCTAATATAATCAACAAATAAAATTAATTTAGTATCAATTTCATAATAATACTAGCAATAGTCACTTTTGATGGCTTAGATAAGTGTAAATTTTCCACTTAAAAACACCTCCGAACTTGGACCTTTATTTGTCCTCAAATAAAGCATAATAGATACTTAACTAGACTCTAGACAAGCATACTCAACCCGATATAAGCAATTCAATATTTCCTCAAAATGCATATCACAATCACAAAATTTAAACAAGTTAATGAGATACAAGAGTCAAAAATTATCTTAGAACTCTACATATAGTATATTTAGCTATTGAGAATGTGTCAAACATTTTCAATTCTACCAATGCTACTTGAATTGAGTTATGTATTTCAACTTACCTAGTCTCTTTTTCCCAAAGAAAACCAAATTTAAGTAATGTCAATATATTTTCTCATCACTCGTATTGCTCTCGTTGTTTTTCAATTTCCCCATAGCAAACTAACAATGAGATATGACTTATTTTCATCAACTACTCAATCACCTTTCAATTCTTAATCGATGATCAAGTCTTAACCGGATGGGGATAGCACTTATGATTATTTTGCTATTACCTCAACACACCTTCCTGTGTTTTATTTTTCATTTCTTTTTTGCATTGTCCCTTTTTTATGTTTTGGGATCTTTCTGATTTTCAAAGGTAATTTTGCTCTACAATAAAGACAGTCTTTTTTCCCGATAGATTATCTCTTAAACAACTTTCCATGAATAGAGTCAAATTATTCAAGACTAACTCACACAACAATGTATGTAACTTTTTCCTATGTGACACAGTTAGTGCAGTTTCTTTCACTTTTTTTGACCAATGATAGGAACTAAAAGACAATCCAGTTGTGATGTTCTTGGGTTTGGATGGATGTAATCATCCCCAAACTTATTCTAAAAGGATTCAATATGGTTTAATAGTAGTGATTAATGTCATAAACATGTTCTAAGTTCTTAAAAGATCATAAGGTTGCTGACTTACACGACTCCACTCATAGTCAACCATAAGTGCAATAACTAATGATTATGCGATCAATTGTTCAAAAGTTAATTAAAAAATAATGGGATTCATAAATAATTAAAATTTCAAGTGTCCACATGAATCGATCCAAATTTTACTCAAAAACATGTACAATATTATCATTGAATATGAATTACTTTTTTCAAGTCAAGTCACACAAAAGCATGCATAATAAACCTAAAGAATTTTATTTTTTTATACGGAAAACTAAACCTACATTCAGCACATAAAAATCATTCATGCTGACTATATTGGAAGAGAATCCAGATTTTTCACAGCAAGCTTAATTTCTATGTTGTCCTTAATGTAATACTATGAAGCCAAAAACATAAAAATAAAGTAAAAGAGAGGAATTTTAGACTTGCCGGATAAATGCAGGACATGAAGTTAGCATTGGCACTTGTAGAATCTTTTCCTTTTCTTTGCTCTCCATCGGAAGGGGTCTTTGTTCTTTATGCCAATCTCTCTCTCTCTCTCTCTCTCTCTCTCTCTCTCTCTCTCTCTCTCTCTCTCTGTTATATATATTTATAAAAGATATGCTGAATAATATGTATGCACGTATTATTGGTGATATTTTTAAGGATATATATGCACATATAATCGGTGTAAAATCCTCTTCAATCTTAAGATGATTTTTTTCCCGTGCATATTGCATTTTATTTGCAATAGTTGCAGTGATAAAAACCATAAGACAAATTTTCGACGTGAGGTGCATATAAGGTGTATTCCTAGAATCACTCTTGATTGTGGTTGGTTAGGAAAGTTTACCATGTTGATGTAATACAATAATATCTCGTAAATTAGGTAAGTAAATTACGTGAGTTTTTTCCTTTTCTTTGGTCTTGTACATGTATATATAATTTTTCCAGCAAAGGTGAAGAAATTGAATTCCCAGAATATCTCTTTTCCAGTAATTTTTCATTACAGATCACGGCTGATATGGTATCAGAGCAATCCTGAATTTTTTCTTTTTTTTTTTCTCCTACTCGTATTCCGTATTCCGAATTCCTAACTGGTAAAATTAGCTTCATGACAACGAATCCACACGAAATTTCTGTCTCTACCACAGCCCCGCAGCAAACTATTCCAGCACCACAAATTGTTGTGCAACAGGATAATTCTGCGTTCCCAACTAGAGTCATATTGGACGAGAATAACTACCATTATGGTCTCAACTTATGGAGATGCGAATCGGTGCTCGTAACAAGGCAGGGTACCTTACCGGAAAGATGGCTAAACCTGCACTAGGAGACCCACGTCTGGAGACTTGGATTACTGAAAATCATAAAGTCAAGAGCTGGCTTATTGATTCAATGAGTCCGCCATTGATGCAGCGATTTATTCGCCTTTCCACAGCAAAGGAGATATGGGAGGCGGTGGCTCGAACATTCAGACGAAACTTGCCTGTTCGAATTGAATCAGAGATCTTTTTCTACAAAACAAAATGGACGTCCACTCTCAACATATTATAATGAACTGGTTGCCATTTTTCAGGATATTGATCACAGAACCATGTCTCAAGAGGGAACAGTTGAAGGAGTTGTTCAGCTGCATTTAGCCATGGCTAGACTTCGAGTTCATATATTTCTCAGTGGACTCGATTCTGAATATACACAGGTGCGTGGAGAAATTTTGCGAAAAGACCCAAAACTTGATCTTGAGAGTGCTTATGCCTATGTTCGAAGGGAATATCAGCAGAGACAAACTATGGGAGGCACTAACCTGATCTCAGAAAATTCAGCCATGTTAGCAAATCGAACCCGCCAAGGATATCCAGGGGGTCCATCAAAAAGTAATCCCAAGCAACCTTTTAAAGGGCCAGTGTGTACCCATTTTGGTGAAACTGATCATACAAAAAAAATGCTATGAGATCATAGGCTACCTCGAACGGTGGGATTTTATGAAGAAACCTCGAAAAAACATTGCTGGGAAAGTTATGACAGTATCCACTACAGAGGAATCAATGCAACCCACAGCAAATACTACAAATGTTGTCCATCCAGGTATGCTAAGTAATGCTTCCCATGTCACTTCTAAGAATAGTATATGGATTATTGATATAGGTACATCTGATCACATGACAAGGGACCCTAGTCAATTAAAACATTTTACCCTTCTTCTCAATCAGGTATTTCTACAGCCAACGGGAGTATCTCTCCTATTACTGGGGAGGGACCTGTCATTTTATCTGATACTCTTACATTAGACAATGTACTTGTAGTTCCCTCTCTTGAATATAATCTCCTCTCCATTAGCAGGATCACTTCTAGCTTGTCTTGCACCGTAACATTTTGGCCTTATTTTTTTGTCTTTCAGGACATTCTAACTCGGAAGATTCTTGGTTTTGGTGTTAAATGAGGCAAACTCTACTACTTGGAATTAACTGAAAAAGGGGGGTCAAAGCTCAGTCAGGCGTACCAAACAAGTAGCAAAGATAAGAATGGGGAAATTGTTTGGTTGTGGCATCGAAGACCTGGACACCTTTCTTTTGGTTATCTTCGTAAACTAAAATTGCATTTGTTTTCTAATTTTGATGATGTCAACTTTCATTGTGAAACTTGTGAACTGGCTAAGAGCCATCGCATTTTTTATTTGCCAAGTTTGAATAAAAATTCAGTACCTTTTATGGTTATTCACTCGGATGTATAGGTCCTGCGAAAATTCAATCTTTTTCTAAAGCTCGATATTTTGTTACTTTTATTGATGAATGTACTCGAATGACTTGGGTATCTCTCCTTCGAAATAAAAATGATGTGCGCATGGTTTCTCAAGAATTTTATAGTATGGCTAAAACTCAATACCAAAGACAGATTTGTACTTTACAATCAGATCATGGTACAAAATTTGTGGATGCTATTTTAGGTACCTTCTTACGTGAAAAGGGAATTCGACATCAAACTTCCTGCACATACACTCCAGAACAGAATGGACTAGCAAAAAGAAAAAAATAGGCAAATACCGGAGATAATCCGAGCTTCACTCTTTGGTATGAATATGCCTAAATATTATTGGGGTGAGGCAGTGAAATCAGCGGCGTATTTGATTAATCGAACACCATCTCGCGTGATAGATTTTCAAACTCCTCAACAAAAGATGGAATCGTTACTTTCTGTTCCTCATCTTCCAAACCTTGAACCATGCATCTTTGGGTATACAGTATATGTTCATATCCCTAAAGTTCTATGAGGAAAATTGGATCCATGTGCGAAACGGTGTGTCTTTGTTGGCTATTCCGATTTTCAAAAAGGTTATAGGTGTTATGATCCCCTTACTCAGAAGATATATGTTAGCTTGGATGTTTCTTTTCGTGAGTTTGAACCATACTATTCATGCAGACCTTCTGGGTCTTCTCTTCAGGGGGAGGTTTTTAGTGAAGAGAACTTATCTCAGAAATACGATGAAAATGAACTGTTTGAAGTGGAAGATTTCTCCTCTAGTGGAGCGATACCTAGTGCTGTAGTACCTAGTGGTCAAGGTCATGAAAACGATAAGTTGTCTGCAACAGAGGATGTAGAACCCATCAATTCTACTTCCAACAATCTGATTTGTGATAGTGATCAGAACCCCCTGAATTCATTTGTTGAGTTGCCCATATCTACACCATTAACTGAAGAATCAACCCAGAATGTTCCTTCCCAGGTAACCTCGAATCCCACACTTAGTGAACCTAATGAAATACTTGATCTCACGAAAGAAGAAATCACTAGATACCCACAAAGATCCACTAGGGGCGTTCCGAAAAAATAGTATGAGCGTGATCCTAAAACCAAGACAAAGTACCCAATTAGTAATCATGTTTCTCTCCATAGACTAGTTGAATCATATGCACTTACTGTTGATCAATTATCCAATGTATCTATTCCTAGTAGTGTATAGGATGCTTTGGCAGATTCAAAGTGGACCATGGCAATGAATGAGGAAATGGAGGCTCTTCAGAAAAACAATACTTGGGAACTCTGCTCGTTACCTGAAGGGAAGAAAACAATTTGATGTAGATGGATGTTTACAGTTAAACTCAAAGCTGATGGCAGTATTGACAGATATAAAGTAAGGTTGGTTGCAAAAGGATACACACAAAAGTATGGGATCGACTATCAAGAGACTTTTACACCAGTAGCCAAGATTAGTACAATCCGCATTCTCATATCAATTTCAGCAAACAGAGATTGGCCATTACAACAGTTTGATGTAAAAAATGCTTTCCTTAATGGAGACCTAGAGGAGGAAGTCTATATGGAGTTACCACCCGGAACTAAATGCAAATCTTCAAGACAAACTGAAGTATGCAAATTGAAGAAAGCATTATATGGACTGAAGCAGTCACCTCGAGTTGGAAGATTCTCGTCCACAATGAGGGATTTTGGTTACAAGCCGAGTAATTCAGACCATACACTATTTATAAAACAAAAGGGAGGAAAGATAACGGCTTTAATTATATATGTGGACGACATGGTCCTGACAGGAGATGATCATGATGAAAGGAAAGCTTTACAGGAGTATCTTGCAACTAAATTTGAAATGAAGGATCTTGGTCAGCTCAAATATTTTTTGGGAATTGAAGTCTCGAGGTCAAGACGTGGCATTGTTCTCTCGCAAAGGAAATATGTGTTAGACCTTTTAACTGAAATCGGGATGCTAGCTTGTAGACCAGTTGAGACACCTATAGAGATAAATCATAAACTTGGAAAATCAGTAAGTCAAACTCCAACGTATAAAGGACGATATCAAAGGTTGGTTGGAAGATTAATCTATCTGTCTCACACAAGACCAGATATAGCTTATACAGTGAGTGTTGTAAGCCAATTTATGCACGCACCAAGTGAAGAGCATATGAATGCAGTATACCGAATATTACAGTACTTGAAGAGTGTGCCCTGGAAAAGGTTTATTATTCTCAAAAAATGGAGCCTCAGGTATTGAAGGATATACAGATTCCGATTGGGCTGGGGATAAATCAGATAGACGGTCTACATCAAGTTACTTCACTTTTGTTGAAGGTAATCTAGTTACTTGGCGAAGTAAGAAGCAAAAAGTTGTAGCTAGGTCAAGTGTGGAAGCTGAATTTCGAGGTATGGCTCATGGTGTATGTGAGCTGTTGTGGGTTAAAAATGTATTACGAGATTTGGGAATTGACTATGAGAGACAAATGAATCTACATTGTGACAATAAGGCAGCTATTGAAATTGCTCACAATCCAGTTCAACATGATCGTACTAAACATGTGGAAATTGATCATCACTTTATCAAGGAGAACCTCGATAAGAAGGTCATACATTTTCCATTTGTTAGGTCTGAAGATCAACTAGCTGATGTTCTTACGAAAGCAATCTCGGGAAGGGCGTTCCATGATGCAATTAACAAGTTTGGCATGATAGATATCTATGCACCAACTTGAGGGAGAGTGTTGACGTGAGGTGCATATAAGGTGTATTCCTAGAATCACTCTTGATTGTGGTTGGTTAGGAAAGTTTACCATGTTGATGTAATACAATAATATCTCGTAAATTAGGTAAGTAAATTAGGTGAGTTTTTTTCCTTTTCTTTGGTCTTGTACATGTATATATAATTTTTCCAGCAAAGGTGAAGAAACTGAATTCCCAGAATATCTCTTTTCCAGTAATTTTTCATTACAGATCACGGCTGATACAAATTTAGTTTGGCTATGAATTTTGGGTAGATCATTTTACTTCATCATTTTGTATTTTGTAAATGGTTGAAATGTGCATGATTTAAATATGCTAAAATTTATGAATAATGTTACACCTATATCAGAGTGTCCATCTCCTCACATGGAGGGGGACACCACTTCGAATAAAATATAATTTATCTGAAGTGGGTCCCCCTCCACGTGAGAGGAATGGACACCTGGATGGATGCTGGATTATGCATAAGTAGCATATTCCAAAACTTATTTATAGATTTTTTGGCACATGGATTGAATAATAAGAGACATTAAAATATATGAAAGGGTATGATTTTCATGAGGCGTTTCTGTTCACTCGATGATATATATTTAAAGAGAGATTCTATACAGATAAGCCTACTGACAAGGTTAAAAACAGGGGGTAGCCCTTGACTTTAATTTCGTAAATTCAGAATAGCACCTCTACACATACAGAAAAATGCTTACCAGAATTGCACCAGAAGCCAAGTGTCAACAATCTGACGAAAAATGCGAAAAAAACAAACGGATGAAAGCAGACTCTGCCACACCTGCATTTTGTAACAATTCTGTGAAACTGCTTCTATACAAGCAGTTTAAACCAATTCAGATCAAGGGCTAAGGTGAAGCCACCTCAGCCCTTGTTTTTATCCCTGTTAGCAGGCCTGTTTGAGCAGCATTAGTGATATTTAAATGAAGTAATAATATATATTTGATAGTTTCTGTGAATGATCACAAGCCTCATGACAGAACAGTGAAATGGTGCCTATTAATAAATCATTTTGGGCAGACGGTTTTGCATTGAGTCGGTCCATACATATGTTCACTTTTTGTATTGAACGGTACATGTACAAATGGGAGGAAAAGATGGAATTTTGTGAAACTCTTTTGAATTGTGACTATATGGTTTCTTATTCTAAATTAGTTTAATTGGTGCCTATTTAATTCAAAACGTGCAATGACGATACATATCTTTTAAATTATGTATGCCATGCGAACAACATTGTGCATGTTCATATTGAATTTTTATTACATTAATGTGATTTATAAATAATGTATGAGATTTATGTGAAAGATTGTGTCTTTTCACTTAATTTGAAGAAAGTTGTTTTGAATGATAACCTTTTGATATATTAATAATGAAATTGTATCCATTCATATGATTGGAATTTCTTTTTGCCATGAATGTATTTTTTGAATCTATGCAATTGTTATAAGCAATTAAATATGGAAAGTTGGGTACTTTGATGAATTGCAGCTAATGGTATTTAAAATAAAATACTTATTTATTTGCATCTTTTGATAATGGTAATTAAATTGATTTTATGTATCATAAGGACATTCATTTATGAATGATAAAGACTATGGTATACAAAGATTGTGTAATTTTTCTTAGAAAAAGAAATTGTTCTTATTTAATCTTTGAATAAACAAACATCAAACTGTTAAATGTGGATTGCCGAAGGGAGGCCAATTATTTTCAAAGATAGTTCGAAATAATATTGAATTATTATTTGCGCACAAATAAAAATTGATATTAAAGATGAGCAACGATCAAATTCAATACTTGAAACGGTTTATCAAACTAATTTGAATAGTTCAAGGTTTATCTCAAATCGATGCCGTTTTGGTTAATCGATCAAGAGGACTAATTTTCATTGATAGACAATAAAGCAAATAGTGATTGATTATATTGTTGCCCAAAATTTATGGGGATACTGTTTAAGAGATTGATCTATCATGAATCTGCATACCTTTGTGTTTACCTAAAATCTATAAGATTTATTGAACGAAGGAAGATAAGTTATTATACATTATTAATGTACCCTAAAGTTGTGGGGGTAGCATTTCACCGTATTATTGCATATGATGAATACGGTCATATCTAGATGCCCAATTAAAATGGGATCAATGACGATACTAAATGAGATTGCAACATCTTTAAATAAGTTAATGGACTTCTACAAGACACTGACGTTCCGTTTTTCGAAATTATTTAATTAATTATTTAATTGAAAATTATTATTTGGTAATGAGAATTAAGCCACTTAATTATTTGGAATTGTTGGAAATTTATGTAGAATATTATGGAGTTTTCTAAGATCACTATAGATGAAAATGTGTGTCTTTTCATATGAAAGATTATGACTTTTGGTACAATTACTTTCCAATGGATGCGTCTCTTTATAGAGATTAATTCCAAGAGGTGTGTGGTCATGACAATGGGGCGAATTCGGGTCAAGGCATGTTCCACCACTTTCTGCCTTGCTGGGCAATTTCCCACCTCGTACCCGCCCCGTTACTTGTTTAAGGGGTGGGGCGGGACCTTACCCCGTTTACGTATCTGTTTAATTTTTTTTTAAGTTTTTAATAATTCATTTATTGCCCCAATTCATTAAAGTGAGACAATAATATAATTATTAAAATTCTTAATTAATTAATTTATTTTTAAAAGTTAAATTATTCAAATATATTTGGTAAACTAAGGTTTTTATTATTTATCATATTCCTTAGATAATTTTAGTTGTCATTTTCTATTAAAATTAATTAAATTTATCGGAGTTTTCCATTTAAAGTATTGAACTCTTAAAAAATAAAAATTAACTAGGTTGGGTAGGGCGAGACGGGGTAGGTGTTACCCATACCCGCCTCGGGGAGAAATTTCCCAACCCGAATATCCGATTAAGCAGGTAATCCCAGCTCCGTTCGAGGTGAGGCTCCCACGGCTATCGAGTTTAACAAGTTTTTTTTGCCATCCCTAGAGATGTGTCCTTTAGTAGGATTGTGTCTTTTGAAACACAACTTTCCAACCTATGTTTGATTCATTCATTCATGTTGATATAGTGAATAAGGTGAATAGGTACCTTAAATAATACTATCTTGTGAATTATCACAAATTTGATAAGTTGCATACGCTTGGAGAAGTTGCAATTTTTGTGAATCAAGAGGCTTAGCCCTCTTTATTATTGTACTATACTACAATGTGTACAGTTATGTGCAATCAATACAAACTATTGACTTCAATCATCGAACCAATTACGTTGGTATATGCTTTGAAAACATTGTTGGTCCATGTGATGACTTGGATCTAAATTATGAGATTGAAATTAAAGAGAGTTTGACTGAAGTACAGAAGTATGAATTGACGATAAGTAAAATGAAAGTACTTAGACTTTCATGTAGCATTATCTATTTGATGGATGAATTGAACTTTGAAAGAGTTGATGAACTTGAAGTTCAAGCATAACCCAGGAATTTGGGGGGGGGGGGGGGTTAAA